ATTTATGGAGCTAGTAACAAAAATAATTTCCCTCTGGGATTATTAAAGTATTTCAGATTCTTCTTCTTCTTTTTTTTTCTTTTTCTTAAAGGATAAAAAAACAAAACAATTCATCTTCTTCTCCTTCTCTTTCTTTTTGGCCACTTACAAAGAATGCTTATTTTTCCTCATCACATGGTTATCAATTTTTATAAATTCATATGATGTGATTTTCTGGAATTTTCTTTGGGATTCTGTCTTTCACTGTTAGAATGTACGTATGATTAAAGTTATAGATCGTTGCATTATTTGTAAGTGGGCAAACCTGCAAAATCAGCAAGGGGTCAAATACTTATTTCCCCCACTGTAGATCTTTCTCTCCTCATCCTAAAGACTTCTTCTTCTTCTTCTCTGAACTAATACTTTATTACCAAATAAAGTTCTTTAGTCCTAAAAACCTCCACTCAGCTTCTAGAGCCCTGAACCCTCCTGAACCCCAGTGGAGCTTTGGCCGTTTCCTGCTGGCTCCTGATTGGTCGGTGATGAAGATATTCGGTATTTAACGCGTTCGGTCGGTGGGATTTGCCCGTTTTGAGACTGAAGGAAAACTCTCTCTTATCTCCGACCGGCTAAATTTAGGCTCTGAGAAAAAACGGGCTCCTTCCCACAGCGGAGAAGAATGAGCCGATTGTAAAGTAAAATAAAATAAAAACCGACTCAGACCTTCAAAGATCAGCCAGACAAGATTAAGGAGAGAAAAATACCTTTAATTCCCACAAAGTGTTAGAATAAAACAGGTTATTAGATCAATACATTCTTTATTTTACCCTCCGAATTTCCTGTTCTGCCTCTCTGAACCAGGATGCTTCTTTTCTCTGTGACCTTTGACCTCTGGGCCTCATAGCAGACGCTATCAGACACTGTTTAAATCTAAAGGAAAATGCTTTCAGACGTTTTATCCAAACGGGCCAATGGGAGCAGGGCTGCTGTCCCATGTGACCTGAGAAAGGAGAGGATACTGTGTGGGATCCATTTAAATGGAGGAACATCTGAATGGGGAATTCTGTAGAAAACCACTGAGAAATCCGCTTTTTAGGTCTTTAGATGAAGGAAAATAACTGAAAATCAACTTTTTTATGTCTTTAGATGACGAAAATTCATTGAAAAATAATGTTTTCAGGTCTTTTGATGAAAGAAAACCATTGTTGTGTTCAAAGGGCTCAGAAATCTCAGCTTTTCCTGCTTTTTTCCTGTTTAAATCTAATGGAAAATGCTTTTAGACATTTTACACCAATCATGTTCTGATTGAGGAACTAAAATGTTGTAAATAACTAATTTGGACCCTCAGAAACAAACAGCAAAAACATGTAATTAAATCTATAAACACATTTTAAATCTAAAGATACACCCACTGAGCCTCTGTGAAGAAAAACCACCTGAACCAGGACAAAGTCTAGTTCTGAAACTTCCTGATCAGAGATCTGGACCAGAGCAGAAACCAGACAGAAGCTTTTTACTCTCAGGAGGTTAAATCTGTTTTCCAGCCTCAGTCCTGCTCAGCCTCTTCTTGTCAGTGTGTGTCTCTGTGTGTGTGTGTGTGTGTGTGTATCTGTGTGTTTGTGTGTGTGTGTGTGTGTGTGGGTGTGTGTGTGTAACTGTGTGTGTGTCTCTCTGTGTGTGTATCTCTGTGTGTGTATCTGTGTGTCTCTGTATGTGTGTGTCACTGTGTGTGTGTGTAACTGTGTGTGTGTCTCTCTGTGTGTGTCTCTCTGTGTGTGTATCTGTGTGTCTCTGTATGTGTGTGTCACTGTGTGTGTGTGTCTGTGTGTCTGTGTGTGTCTGTATCTGTGTGCGTGTGTGTGTGTGTATGTGTGTAGGGGGGGTTTTCATACCACTGGCTTGCCTCATCTTTGATCAAAGGAATTGCTTACATCACTGCGTCTCCATGGAAACGAGCGGACAGGTGCGCCCAGCCCGTTTGGCTCCGCCCCCTTACGCCCAAAACGACCCAATCAGGGCAAAAACGCAAACAAATTGCTTTTATTACTCAAATTCTTTGATGTTTTCCGCCAAGCCTTTGATGTCGAAGTCGTGTCTGATTTTAATTTGTCATTTGGGGGATTTTTGAGGTGATTCTGGATTCTGATTCGGGGTCTCTGAGGTCAGTTTGAGTGTCTCTGGACAGGTTTGGGCTCTTTGAAGTCGAACTTTGAGCGGGTTTTGTTCTGATAGTCATCGTTTGTTGTCGGTCAGTAGAAGGTGGCTGGAATTCGTCTTCTTCTCCTTCTTGGATCTTTCAGACATTTCTGCTCCCATCCAAAAGGTTTCTTTAATTTATGAGAGATGAAACACCTTCAGAATCCAAGAAGAAGTCCAGACGTTCCTTTCCTGACACTCTTAAACAGTTTGGAATAAAAACCTTTAATTTCAGTAGCTTCTTTATGGCTGTTTTTTATTTTAGTTAAATTGGGGCCCTGAAAAGGTTTTAAAAGTTAGTCCGCAAATAAAATGAAATAAAAACTTGAATCTGAAAAATAGATCAGAACTTTAATTTTTCAGGTTTTTTTTTTTTTTAAAACTTGTATTTTTCAGGGTTTAATTATTTTTTTTCTTTAGGTGAAAATTTCTTTTTTTTCCAACAAATTCTTTTTTCAGGTTCAAAATTGGTCTTTGGGTTGAAATTTTTTTTCGGGTTGAAATTATTTTTTTACCAATAAACTTTTATTTTTTCGGCTCAAATTTTTTTAGGGGGGTTCAAATTATTTTTTTCATGAACAAACTTTATGGCCCGTATTTTCGTCTATAGTTTTTCATCTTTGAAGACTTTATTATTCAGCATCTTCTTTTCATTTGTAGTTTGGTGTTTCATGGACATTTTGTGGGTCTTTGTTGCTGTTTACTCTGGTTTTTCTTGATGTGAACTGAGGCTTTTTTTGTCTTTTTGTGGCCGTTTGGGGTCTCATGCATTCCTCAGAGTTTAGGGAGACTGCAGCAGACTTGGCTGAGCTTCTAAAGAACGACTTTAAACATTTCTCCCTCAGTCTGCTGTTCTTCTGGGTGGCTTTGCTGATCTGTTGCTGGGCAGACTTTCCATTTCTGGTTCCCCTTTTCTGATTATAAAACAGCAGGATTGGATACAAAGGTTTGACTTAGTGGATGAAAAGCCTCCAAGTTGATGAAAAATAGAAATCACAGTTTAAAAAAGTCTCATGGAACTGACTTATTTAACCAATCAACTGTCCAGTTCAATGTTTATCAACTCCCAGAAAATCCAGAATAATGACTTTCATCACAAATATTCAACTTAATGATCATGTGACAAAGTGCTAATTATTGCACAGGGACTTGGTTACATCATTGTGCTTTTTGTTTTAGGTTTAGGTTTGATGTTCTGTTGAGCCACCAAAGGTAGGAAGAGGGAGGGACCAACCAGGAAGTAGGAGGCAGGAAGAGGGGGACCAACCAGG